ATCAAATAAATTTTTATTTATCTATTCGAAATAAACTTATTCGAAATAAATGAAAATGAAATTCAAAGCTGCTGTTAATCTCATCAAATATGTTATTAATTTTTTTGAATCAGAAGACCTTACAGGTATAGAGCATCCAGCTCATTTTCCAGATTTATCACCGTGTAATTCCCGACTTTGACCTGGTCAAAGATAATCTAAACGATCAAGAAAATTCCGAAGAACTACATGGTACTGTACTCAATCATTTGCACACCTCCGCCCTCAAGAAATAATTCTTTTTCTCGAAAATTTGCTAACTTATAAAAAGTTAGGAAATGAATAATTAACATAGAAAATAGAGCGAGATACGTTATATCGATTGTTAGAAAAAGAATTCTTTTAATATTTTTCCTAAAGGGAAAAAACCCTTTCTCACTACTTTTGAATAACCCTAAGTAATATCAATTTACAGAGAAGCGGTCGAAACTTTATGATCACGTTTTAGTAATATTTTCATCTATAATATATATCTTATAGATCCATGAAGTTTCGCATCAGGGTAATGATGATAGATAGAATATAAAAACTCAGGCTGATTGAAAAGATTTCTCATGATAGCATTGGTGTGGCGGGATATTGGAATGAATCATCCCTCTGATACACTTTTTCAAGCACACATAACTTTCGGATAAAATCCGAAGTTTTCGCGTTTATTTGAATTGGAAATTGGTTGAATTTATTCATGTTTTAGTTATTAAACCATCAGCTCAGTTGATTAATAGGCTCGAAACGCATGATGGCAGCTCCACTCACCCTCGCGGTAGATCTCACTACGAGTTTCAAGGAATGACATTCTATTTCCGTTATCGTAATGATGCATTGTCTGAGACGATCAGTTTAACACCAGCTATTAAAACGATTCCAACTATTATGACGACAAAAATCAGCAGACCGCATGATTTTAACAACAAAAGGCCACAGCTCAAACGTAATATTCTGTTTATATAATACAGCCCTTATCAAACACTCCTGATAGATGGCGCTAGAGCCACAAATGTGTTTCGGTAGATTTGACGTGTACGCAACACGCATATAGGGAGCTGCCAATCCTCGTGGTAGTATAGCAAATAGATCTGATAAACCATAGTTCTTTTTATCACAAGGTGGCTGTATATCAGTCCAGCGTTGATTGTATCCCGAAGGTATGTGTTGTAAGCACTCATAATATGGATTGATAAGTACTCGGTCCTTAGGTAGAATATCTGCGGATGGTAAATCTTTAGCAATATACAGATCCGGGCGACTTCGGACAATAAAATCGTACTTAAGTCCGTCTATTTTTTCGGCCTCTTCAATATGATCTAAGCAACGTTTCCACTTAGCATATCCACTGGTATCTTTTACAGCTCCTAAATGATTATTCACTGAAATCCATTCAATCTTGCGGGGGGACAGATACTTCAGAGCATTAGCATAGCTTCTTGGTGGGCTAGATTTAATCAACGTTCCGTGAACCATTTCCGTTTTGGACGTCATCTGAAGGACAATGAATAAATCACCGGGAAGTTTGTTAAGGGCTTGCCGTTGATAAGCCACGTATACTTCTTCTCTATAAAGAGTACGAGGGGCGCCCGTTATGCAGTGAGCAATACGATATTTTCGCACTGGATTCAAAGTCAATGAGTGAAATATACCATGAAAGAAAAACGCATCAAGTAAAAACAAGAGACTTACGATAAGAATTTGAACAACAAGTAGTGTTTTTCTCAATCGAGTCTTACTATAAAGATCTTTAAGAAGCAACGTGATTTTGAATAGCTTGAACCAAAAGTGCTCTAATGGACCAAACATTGATATGTCTTTAATTGTTGCGCGTATTCTGTGCAATAGTTACTCAGATCAGAAGCGATCTCGTTACTATGCATTAAATAGACTTAGTTGAATTCATTAATGGCATTTTTTGATTATTCTAATAAAATCGTACGAAGTATTTTTGACGACATCGGTTTCGTGTTTCTCTGCTTGTCTAAAAAGCGCATATGAAATATGTTTATTTCTCGGACGATCTGTAGATGTCTATCTAATTGTATTTTCCACAAGAAAATATCTTCGTCGTGAGGTACCGTTGCATTCGTTTTTGGAACGAATTTACTTACAGTTAAGCAATTGGAAAATATAATCTTTTCATTATAAGTAACGACGAATTATAGTTATTTACTTTCCTGAAAGAAAAGGTTATAGCGTTGTAAATAGGATCGTGAAAATGATAAAAGTTAGTTTGTTTAATAAAGGGTACTCCTTCTCTTAGAGGGGATCTTTCATTTACCGAGGTGGACTTAACCTGAAATTTTTAGCGATGAATACTGTTTATGAGAAGTTACCTTCGTAAAAAGTCAAGACGAATCCGGCATCGTAAACCGAATTTCCAAGTAAGAAACTGGGTCTTCGGAGATCATTTACAGTTCCAGTAAGTTTGATGTTAGAGAAGTCACATGTGTTTTAAATTATTGTTAGTCTCTACACTTTTGTTTTGTCCGAACAGAGTCTTGGAATTCTCATTCAGTAATTTTTATGAGCATTTTAGCGAGCATGAGTTCATACGAAGACAAAACGCTAAAGTTTGACTGTACTAAATTCGCTTCTTCTGAACCTAGAAATTAAGAAGAGAATCTGGTCGAACACAAGTTTAGCCCGATTGAGAGCTTGAAACAAAAAGATAGTGGATATCTCCTACACGGATGTAGGAACTATCTCGGTTTTTATACTGAAAATAAATGCGAAAAATTTGGATTTTATCCGAAAGTTATGTGTACTCTAAAAAGTGTATGAGACTTAAGAGACGGTCCACGAGAAAATCGAACTTTTTCTATTTAAGCCAAAACGTGGGGGTCAACCGATTTTGGATTTGACCCCCTGGGAAGTTAGGTAACATTGACCTATATATGAATCCAGAATATTACGGCCTAAAGATTTATTATAATGAATATAGGGCATACCGAACGATTTCACCGAAAACAAAATCTGAAAAATGACTAAAACCGAGTTT